CGATCAGCGGCCAGTGGTGCGGAATCTCTCGGAGGGCTCCTGCCCTCTGAGACCATGCTCGTTCCAACGACGAGCTCGAAGCCAGCCGAATCTTGGCTAGTAATTATTCTTGAGTTCCGTTTGGCTGGGGGCAGGGGTCGCGGCAGTAGTTAGGCGCTGTGGAGTGTACATCCATCGTCCCCACACTCGCTCTATTCCTCGCCCCGCCCCTCCTTCCCCAACCCTACTCTCCCTCCTTCCCTCTCTGTCTCTTCCTCTTCCTCTCTCTCTCTCTCTCTCAGACTCTCTCTCTCTCTCTTCCTCTCCCCTCTCTGTCCCTCCCTCTGCCTGGTTTACCTTCCCTCTCTCACTCGCTGCGTGTTCCCTCCAGATGGCATTCGCAAAGCGTGCAACTCCTGCCCAGACGCGTGAGGAAGCGCCTGTGGAAGGCGATGCGGGTGCGGCTAGCCAGGCGCAAGCCACCGAGGGCGTGGGAGCTGCGGAAACTGCTGAGGCAGGATCCCGGCTTTGAAGGCCTAAACCCTGCCTAAACCCTACAACCCCTATAAAACTCTGTAAACCCCAAAACCACCTATAGACCCCAAAACCCTACAAACCCCAACCCCAGAATGTCTAAGAGTCTATAACGAGTGGCCTTAAGAGCCATGATTGCCTCCATGCATGTGCATGTGCATGAAAGAGCAAATCTCATAGACCAAGTGCCGGTACATGCCTGTTTGGGGTTCATGGGGTTCATTCAGATCATGGGTTTCTTGTTGAGCCCCTCATGTATGTGCTCGCTTTGAGTTTGGGCCCTGGACAACCATGTTGAGGGTTTCGGCTTTCAAGCTGAGAGTTTAGGGTTGATAGTGCTTGGGGTTGAGGTGTTGCAGAGTTTATAAGGTTAGGGTTTAGGTCTGGGGGAAGGCTCGAAACCTTCCAAGCCCTTAACCCCCAAAAGCTGAAGCAAGCTGGCTAACAGGATTTCGGGAGTGAGCACCGCTAGGGGGGTTGGGGGGGTCAAGGGTCGGGGGGGTGGTTGGGTGGGGGATGGGGGGGGGGGGGGGGGGGGGGGGGGGGGGGGGGGGGGGGGGGGGGGGGGGGGGGGGGGGGGGGGTGGGTGGGGGGGGGGGGGGGGGGGGGGGGGGGGGGGGGGGGGGGGGGGGGGGGGGGGGGGGGGGGGGGGGGGGGGGGGGGGGGGGGGGGGTGGCGGACCTTTCGGTTTCTTTGAGGTCTTATCTTTCTTCCCCAATAAGTATCCCTCCCGCCACCTGAAGGTCAATGCCCCCACAGACTGTCATAGGTATAATTGCTGTCTGACGCCCAGTAGAACCGTCAATATCTTCTTATGGGCAAGCCCAATCTGAGCAAAACGGGCCACCCCTTTTCATTCTTAGGTAGTCTAATTAGAGCCCGGGTTTAAGGGTTCACACCAAGTGACAAAGGTGATCTGCGAGTTCCTGTCACCACGCAAAGCCATTGATTTGCCCGCCTGGGTACCTTTCGAGGCGGGCTACGGGCTTGCCAGGTTAGCTCAAGGTTCATGGGCAGCTACCCAGAGAGCCCAAAACCCCTTACTTAAACAATATTCCTTAAACCATATAGGGATCCTTAGTATTATTTTGGGAATATTCCTTAATTAAGGGGTATTGGGCTCTTTAAGTATAAGTAGGTGAAAGTAGGGCGACTAGACCTATTACCTAATACCCTATTGCGGGTACTTGCCCTGCTTATAAGGACGTTGCCGGGAGTCGCAAACCCTAAACCCTAAACCCTAAACCCTAAACCCTAAAAACAGACACAGCCGGAGCCTGCGTGATTAGGACGTGCCATCATAAATCTGAAGCCCTCACGGCCGTCCATTCTTAGTGGATATGCTGTACATGACGCCCGCAGCAAGCCCGATTTGGTTGAGAGCTTCCCAGAAACCCAAATACTCCTTAGTTAGTGAACCTTCCTTAAGCCATGTCAGAAACCCTATGTCATCTTACGGAATTATCCCGTAATCAAGGGGTATAGGAGTCCCTGGGAGAACTCTCCAAGTTCCAAGCCTCAAGAACTTGGAGGTCCATGGGGTAGGGTTTAGGGTTTAGGTTGTGGTACGTAGGGTTAGAAGTAGGGCAACTATACCTATAACTCTGTTGTCTGCACTTAGAACCGCACTTATCACCGCGCATGAACCTCCAAGTAGGGATCAGGGTTTAGGGTTTAACGGGTTTAGGGTTTACAGGCTTTAAAGGGTTTAAAGAGTTTAAAGGGTTTAGGGTTTAGGGTTCAGGGCTACTAGGTTTTAGGGTTATTAGGGCTTAGGGTTTAGGGTTACTAGGGTTACTAGGGTTACTAGGGTTACTAGGTTTCAGGGTTTACGAGTACGAGGGCTCAGAGCTCAGGGTTACGAGGGCTGTTGCACCAGGAGGAGGCCCCCCAGCCAGCCGCTGATGTGCCCCCAGCGTCGCCGCCGCCCCGAGATCCCGGAGGAGGCTCCGCGTGGCCTGGAGAGCCCTTCAAAAACCCTCAAGTAAGTGAGGAACAAACCCTTGAGTAAGTAAGGAAGTAAGGAAAAACCCTTTAGTAAATAAGGAAAAAATCCCTTGAGTAAGTAAGGAAAAATCCTCAAGTAAGTAAGGAACAACCTGTAAGTCAGTAAGGAAAACCTCAAGTAAGTGAGGAAGAACCCTCAAGGAAGTAAGGGAAAACCCTCAAGTAAGTTTGGACAAAATCCTTAAGCAAGTAAGGAAAAACCCTCAAGTAAGTAAGGAAACACCCTCAAATATGCAAGGAAAACCCTCAAGTAAGTAAGGAATATACCTGAATGAAGTAAGGAATAGACCTTAATGAAGTTAGGAATGTAAGTTAATGAAGTAAGGAATAGACCTTAATGAAGTTAGGAATATACCTTAATGAAGCAAGGAATATGCCTTAATCAAGAAAGGAATATGCCTTAATTAAGTAAGGAGTATACCTGAATTAAGCAAGGAATATACCTTAATTCCCAAAAGGTCCTAAGGACCTATTCCAGAAGCCCTACTTTCTACCATCTAGGTTGGGATTAAGCAAATAGACCTTAATGAAGCTATATCGGGGCCCTTAGTAACCCCTTAACTTAGTAAGGAATAGACCTTATAAACCATATAGGGGTACTGCTGTGCGTTTAAGGCTGATGTTGGGGATTTTACAGAGCGGTTGAGTCGAAGGTTTCGTAGGTCCGGTCTGTTCCAAACTGCACGACCCACGGCAGCATGTTCAGATTCATAGGCTTTTAGGGTTTGGGGTTTAGGGTTTAGGGTTTAGGGTTAGCCCCAAGCCAGGAGACCCCAAGCCTTGCAGGACCCGCCAGGGCCTATCATTTACGGTTTATGGCCTTTTTCGGGGCATAGTAAATGAGGTGTTTAGCTTTGAGGCCTTTTTGTTAAGGCTTCTTTTACCTTAAACCCCAAACCCCAAACCCCAAAAATTAAACCCTAACCCCAAAACCCAAAACCCTAAACCCTAAACCCCAAACCCCAAACTCTAAACCCTAAACCCTAAACCCAGATAAGGGCCACTTCTTTGGCAGGCGACGCCGGCGCTGGTGAGACGTCGGAGCCGGGAGTCGGACACGAGGCCAAGAGCGTGAACCCCGAACTACCTTTTTTTGGGGGGGAGATCCTTAGTGGGTTTAGGGTTTAGGGTTTAGGGTTTACGGTTTAGGGTTTAGGGTTCAGGGTTTCAAGCTGTATAGTTGTATCAAGGGTTTTGGCCACACCGGGTTGGTTCCCTCTCAAAGACCCCCCCCCCCCCCCTCCCCCCCCCCTCCCCCCCCCCCCCTCCCCCCCCCCCCTCCCCCCCCCCCTCCCCCTCCCCCCCCCCCCCCCCCCCCCCCCCCCCCTCCCCCCCCCCCGACCCCCCCTCCCAAACTTTAAGCCCGAAAAAAGTACCCTGAACCTTATAACCCTGACTTCTCACCTTTTAGGGTCTAGGGTTTCTGGTTCGTCCCCGCCGCCAACAGTGTTTCGGGCTGCCTAGATTCTGCGAGGCGAACGATTCGCGCAGCCCCTTGGCAGACCCTGAGGGGCCGACCGACCCGAAGCTGGAGGAAGTGCGGCGCTTCGAAGAGGTAGGGGTTTAGGGTTTAGGGTTAAGGGTTAAGGGTTAAGGGTTAAGGGTTTAGGTTTCGGAGGTTCAGGGTTTCAGGGGTTCAGGGTGGAGTTTAGTCTCGCCTGATAGGACACTGAGTGCGAGAGAGAGAGAGAGAGATAGAGCTTTTCGGGCTTGGGAAAGGTATTTCTGTCGATTTCCCTTGAAGTTAGGTGTGGTTGTTCTTTGCACCAAAAAACCTTACGCACTAACGACCCGCATGGACAAGGGCACATATAGGGGATCCTGAAAGCCACTCCAAAATCCCTACTGTACGACTTTATGGCCCAATTTACTAGGTTGGTTTTTGGGACATTTGTATTTTCCTTAATTGGTTTATTCGGAACCCTATATATAAATATTTTTCAGAGGGTTTAAAGGCCAACCCAGTTTAGCAAAAAGGGTCTAGGGTCCAGGGTTTTACGGCCTGCTGCAGAAAGGGTTGAGCGCTTGTACGTCGCGTTGAACAAACCACCTCCCTTGCGAGGTACCGATGCTGCCTCCAGACTCCTTCTTTCGGCTTGACGACTTGGAGAGATTGCGGTTGGAGGAGCTTAATCCGCACTTAATGTTCCTGAACGTAGCTGCGAGTTCTTCATAGACCCTTTACACCTTTACAGCTTTCCCCAGGAAGCCCCAACCCCAAACCCTCCAAGCACCCTTCAAGGCCATCGATGAGGCGCGTGCGCTTTTGGCTTGGCTCGTGCCCGGCCAGTGCCCTGGAGGGGATGGCGTCGGATCTTAAAGCAGTTTAGGGTTTAGGGTTTAGGGCATGTTGAGAGCATGCATTGTGGTGCCATGCTGCCACGCATTGTTTTCGATGACCAAACGCTCGGCACAAGTGTAAATCCGAGACTTGTCTCCAGTTTGTAGTTTGTTTGTGAACTTCGTGAGCTTCGTGCACAATGGGCTTCCAGATGCGCCATGTAGCTCTCATGCTCTCTGCCTGCTGTGTCTCAGCACACCGCGTGCAGCGCGCGGGTGGGCAGTCCGGTGGACGCGGGCTTCATGTGCAGCCGGCTACGGCACCCAGCGAAGATGACTTGAGGGCGGAAGCGGCAATGTCCTTCGAGCCGCCAAGAGTATGGATCCCAACCTTCGACGTGAAGAAGTGGTTCTTCCACAGATTGGAGCTTCAGCGTCATTCCAACCTCAGCATCTTCGAACAGACCCGTCACTTCATGGAAAGTGAGGATCCCAGATCTTGGGGTAACAACTGGACGGGGGAGAGCATCTCAACCCTGTCTCTGGCGTTCAAGAACGAGTCAGGAGTGGACGTGATGGGCTTGCGCAAAGAGTGGCTGTCACTTGGCTTTCTTCTGGCTGGGGGCTCTTCGGACGTTAACTTTTTGGGTTTTTGTAGAAACTACAATAAGGAGCCTAAAAGTTAAACTTTTGGGAGGGGGTTCAGAAGTCAACCAAGGTCACTTGTTCTCACCTCCATCGTGATGCCCGAGGCGGATGCAAACACAGCGGGATTGCAGTGCATCAAAAGCGGCCTGTGCGGTGGAGATGCTGGTGCTCCTCAGTACTTGCTGCAACTTGGTAGCCCCGTGGTACCCTGTACACTTTTTTGGTTCTGGGTTCGAGTTCCCTTATAAAATGACCAACCCCAAAAAGGGTGCCCTTATAGTGATATGGTTACTGGGTTCCCAAGGAAAGCACTGCCATCTGGTGAGTTGATACCTATCCTCAGCGCGGAAGAAGAGGAGCCCGCTTGGGCTGGTCGAGTGGGATCTGTGTTCAACTTCGCCTACGGCGTCTATGAGGCAGCCTATGAGAAAGTACCTTGTGGACGAAATTAAACCTAAAAGGGTTTATGGTTCATATACCTTAGCAGTAATTCTAGTAGTATAGGGTTCCTAAACCCCAAATCCTAATTTTAGGGTTCATTTGGTCCCCAAGGTATTGGGGCCCATGCAGACCCTTCCGGCCGCTGCCGGCCAACGTTTCAAGTTCTTGGGAAAGTGGCTCAGGGGCTGGGTATTTAACCTTTCACCTTTTTGGTCACATATACTCCTATTGCAAATAAAGCCTTAACTCTAAGAAATAAACGACATACCTCTAGGGCATACCTCGGAGAAGAAATTAAGGGGTAAGGTAAAAATCCCGCCTTAGACTCCCTTTCTATGTTACTTTCATCGGTTAAGGGATATGGGTTTGGGGTATGGTGAGTTATTATTAGATTAACCTTTTTGGTTATATATAATCCTAGTACAAATCAATTCAAAGCGTTAACCTTTTTTGGGGCTAGGGTCTTCAGCCCCTAAGGTGGCTGGCCCGGTCTTACGTCATCACCGACTTGGGCTATGCACCCATGGGCTTCCACAGTCTCATCTACAAGAGCTTGGTGGCCGGCCATGCTGTTGAGCCTGAGACCCAGCCCTTCTACAGCGAGGAAGACACCATTCCGGCCTGTGAGAAGATGGCGGCCGTCTTCCAGCGGCGCAGCCCCCAAGAGCTGCAGAGCTACGGGTGGCTGGGTTCCTTGGTAGCCCAGTGGTACCCTTTACCATCCTTTACCCTTTTTTTGGTTCAAGGTTCCCTTATAAAGTAGCCAACCCAAAAAAGGGTGCCCTGTTTACAATACGGGTACTGGGCTACTAAGGTTGTGATGAGGTAAAGGATCCTGAGACCGGCAAATACACCCAGCCAAGTTGCTACAAGCCCATCTACAAAGACGAGGCGATGTGGGATGCCCTCTACATGACATGGGGGTCTTTTGCCCCGGATGGTGCCAAAGCTGAAGACCCCGTTCCGTTCAGCGCGGCGCGCGAGTACACGGAGCGCAGATGTGAAGAGTCGTGGAAGCGCTTCGAAGAGCCCGTGGATTACATGGCACAGGGCTTTCACGAAGTGCTGCCCAGCAACTCCGATTTCTGGAAGTTGCTGGATGGGAGGTCTGAGACACTTGCACACATGGTGGAAGGCAACTCAGATGTGGATCTTGATGAGTTGTGGGAAGCAGTCGAGTGGTCAGGATCATGGGACGAGGAGACAGAAGATGCTTGCTAAGCCAATAGTTGAACTTTAACCTCTTTGGGTTTCCTCATGTAGTAGGAAGACGTAAAGTTTAGCCTTTTTTCCCTTTGGTCTTTGGAGAAGTAAGGATGTCCTATATGAGGTGCTGCAGGAGTTGCAGGAGGAGGGAAAAGGTTTGCCTCCCATCAAGCGGCCCTTGAACAAGCTCTTGCGCTTCTTCACAGGGTCATTCAAGAAGCCGGTGGAGGGCTGGAAGAAGGCCAAAGTGGAGTTTGTCTACCGTTACTCGGAGAAGTGCATCCCTTTGGTTGGGAAGACTTGCTTTAATGAGTTGCGCATCCCAGGCGGATGCCTAGAAGACCCCCGCGAGTTGAAGGAGATGATTGCCGAGTCGGTGGTTTCCGAGGACTTTGGCTATGAGTAGGCTGACGTCATTGCCCAAGATGTGGTTGTAAGACGGTGCCGTACGGTGCCGTTGGGCAAGTTCGAGGCGACTTGCCAAACGACGAAATGGGCAAAAGCAAGTGCCTGTGCTATGAGAGATGTTCTGGAAGCTGACTCCAAGCCTAGTTAGATGAAGTTGCTCCCCCTCTCACTGCCAACTTCTAGCATGGGCTGACTGGTAGCGTTTGTTTTTCCAAGAGGCTTTGCTGCCCTTCGCTTGTCACGTTTCTGCACCATCCGTAAATTGGAGCCTTCGCCCGGCAATGCCTTTTCCTTGTCCCCCAAGTCTTCGTGCCGTCGTTGCTCGCCCATTTTGTCCCTCAAAGTGCTTCGCCCTTGCCAAACCTGAGCCCTAAACCCTAAACCCTACAGACTAAACCCTAAACCCTAAACCCCTATCTGGGCCTCGGAAAGCAAAGGGAGCGCTGAGCACTGCTGGCAGAGAGCGCGTGCCAAACCCCTATCTGAACATGGCTGGCTTTTACAGCCTCCAACCTTCTGCGGAGTGAGGCTTCTCACGGCTTAGCAGTCAACAGCGTAGGTCTGTCGAGAGAATGTGCTTGGTGCTGATATGGTGGGTCTAGGGTTTTGGGTTTTGGGTTTAAAGAGGGTTTAGGGCTTAGGGTCCCCGAAGGATCCGTCAGTGCAAGGTTTCCTGCCCCTGTTTTGTTTTCGAGTTTCAACAAGCCTTGCCGATCCCGACTCTAAGGGTAGTTACACGGGCCCTTTATGGTCTAAGGTTTAGGGTTTAGGGTTTAGGGTTAGGGCCCTTAATATGGGTGGTTGTCTCAATTTATGGTCCCTTTTTGGATCCGTACTCTCACACGGCACCTAAAAGGAGGTTCTAATTTTGACAACTACCCATGTGGTCCCTTACCTCCCTTAAGGGTTCTGAAGCATGGGCCTTTGGATTTATATAGGGTTTAGGGTTTAGGGTTTAGGGGTATAGAAGGGGTATATAAGGGGCCCACTTCAAGCCTTGCCGATCCCAAAACGCCATGTTGCCGCTGATGCCGACAGTCTCCTGTCTTCCACTGCTGCCACTCCAAAAGACAAGTGAGTGACAAGGGAGTGAGGGTCCAAGGTGTGAACTAGCCACGTCGCTAGAGAATAGCCCTAAACCCTAAACCCTAAGCCCGAAACCCTAAACCCTAAACCCAGGGTACGTTTCTCCCCGGCATGCCTTGCCGGCCTTGTGTGAGAGTCGAAACCCTAAACCCTTAACCCTCTCCCCCCCCCCCCCCCCCCAAGAGCTACTTCGGTGGAAAGAAACGTCCCGCATTCGGGCTTGTGAGATGTTTAGCATACCGAACATTTAAAATCGCAATCCTTGCAATCTCCCCGAAACCCTAAGCCCTAAACCCTAAACCCTAAACCCTACTAGCATGCTCACCTCCAACAGCTCGAGAGCTCACGATGGGCTCAGGCCCGGGAGCTGCGCTGTCGCCGGATGAGCAGGAGGCTTTTGCCGAAGGGTTTTGGGGGTTTAGGGTTTAGGGTTTAGGGTTTAGGGTTTAGGGTTTAGGGTTTAGGGTTTAGGGTTTAGGGTTTAGGGTTTAGGGTTTAGGGTTTAGGGTTTAGGGTTTAGGGTTTAGGGTTTAGGGGTTAGTGTTTAGGGTTTAGGGTTTAGGGTTTAGGGTTTAGGGTTTAGGGTTTAGGGTTTAGGGTTTAGGGTTTAGGGTTTAGGGTTTAGGGTTTAGGGTTTAGGGTTTAGGGTTTAGGGTTTAGGGTTTAGGTTTAAGGGTTTAGGGTTTAGGGTTTAGGGTTTAGGGTTTAGGGTTTAGGGTTTAGGGTTTAGGGTTTAGGGTTTAGGGTTTAGGGTTTAGGGTTTAGGGTTTAGGGTTTAGGGTTTAGGGTTTAGGGTTTAGGGTTTAGGGGAGGGGGGGTTCCGGCTCCACAATGGCAGTGGAACAGTACGGAAGCTCGAGAATTGACTTGAGGGACTGGGTAGCTACTGTATCTAGCCTACTTCAACCTTTTTTGGGTAAACCCCTAAGCCCTATTTTAAGCCCTAAACCCTAAACCTTTTCGGGTATGTAGAATGCTAGTATAAAAGGTTAAGCTTTTTTGGGCTAGGGTATGAAGCCCCTAAGTTGAGGTATCCCAGGCCCGAGCCTGCAAAGGCTTGAAGCCCACTTGTGAGGAGCCAGAAGCGGTAACAAAGTTAGTGTTTAGGGAGTAGGGTTTAGGGTTTAGGGTTTAGGGTTTAGGGTTTAGGGTTTGCACAGGCGTGGACTTTCTGCAAGCCTGCTGCAAGAGGGTTTGAAATAGTGATGTCACGGCGGCCAGCGTCCAAGTGCCATGAGTTCCTTGGTCAGGACAGGACGGTTTAGGGTTTAGGGTTTAGGGTTTAGGGTTTAGGGTTTAGGGTTTAGGGTTTAGGGTTTAGGGTTTAGGGTTTAGGGTTTAGGGTTTAGGGTTTAGGTTTAGGGTTTAGGTTTTCCAACCGCGGTGCGCGCCGTCAGGTGTTGGTTTTGCGCCGTCAGTCAACAGAAAATCATCCTAAGTTTTGCGCCTCCCGGTCTGCATGGCATCAAGTGTGTGCTTTTGAGGATGCTGCTAGGACAGTCTGGTGCCTAAAGCTATCAAACCCGGGCAGGAAATTCTGCGAGTGGAGCAGGCCGTGCCCTCGGAAGTGCGCAAGCTTAAGCATGAGCAAGTAGTATGAAGAGCCCCATTCCTTCAACGCAAAGACATGATCGAGTGCACACATATAGTCGCCGAACGGCTAGCAGCCTGCAATCAGATTTGAGAACGGGCACAGCCCTGGCACCCTATTCGCCTCTGACTTTGGATGCCGACCCTAAATCCTAAACCCTAAACCCTAAACCCTAAACCCTAAACCCTATGACTTGTGCCTAATTCCGTTTTGGACTTGGGGTTCAGAAGACTTGGGGCAGAGGTCTGACGTTTCTGCGAGGTTTTGAGGCCTCCCAGGTGCCTTCTTAGAGTGGTTTTTGGGACTGGGCGCAAGGTTGCTTTAATGGTTCGAAGCTAATACTGGTTTGAGAAGTCCATCGCACCTGGGTAGATTTGGGACCTTACCACTATAAAACGCTGTAAAGCCCAGAACGCTTAGACCCTATGCTGATTTGTCAAGCGTTTAGTCCAGACATTGCTGCCCTAAACCCTAAACCCTAAACCTTCTCCTCTGCTCGATTCTCTCTGAGGGCTGACTTAACCCCTGAGGCTGATGCAGTCAGTTCCTCACGAAGGGGCCCCTAACATTAGTAGGATCCCCTCATAGTAAGGACCCCAATACCCCCCAATATTATTTCGGAAACCCCCGCATGGTTCAGCCCGAGCCCTTCTTAACATACCTCTAAGTTGTTTGGAGGCTGTATCTTGGCTTAGAGCCTTTCAATATCAGTCCACAAACCCCCCTTAGCCCCCCAAAGCCTTAAACTGCTAGCTCCTCTTTTTGCAAAACCTGTGTCCCCAAGAGGCTAGTGACCATAACTTCTCCCAGGTCATAGTGGGGAGAGGGTGGCGCTCATCTGATTCACGAACGTTTTTGTCATAGTGGTCGAGGTGACACCAATGACATGATTTACCAGGGTACTGACTACGGGGGTATTGGAGTCTTGGGTGAGGGTTGAATGGCCGCTGTCCGTTCACGTGGGCATGTGCTGCCACCCCGAGCCAGCGCCATTCTCCTGGTCTTGGCAGCTCGTTCTGCATCTGGGATACTAGAGTAAGCGAAATTTTGGGTTCGGCTCGGGCGAAGACTTACCGCCTACTGGCAATACAAGATGCTTATTTGCCATCGCTGAGAGTCTTGTTCTAGGCGCAGGGCTTGGGGTGTCGGATTTGCGATCACGACAGCCACATGAGGTGCGAGTAAACTGTTCTCAGGGCGTCCGGGGAATTAAGCCCTAAAACCCTCGACCCTGAACCCTAACCCGAAGCCCTTCTATCCAGAGAAGGCCCACCTCTTCAGACCTTCGTTGCAGGGGGGGGGGGGGGGTTCCTGTGATCCCTGATCCCTGCTGAAGGGACCTGACTATTAAACCCTAAACCCTAAACCCTAAACCCTAAACCCTAAACCGCATTGAACCCTAAGCCTGACTTGACGAGAAGCAACTGCACTTCAACGCCCTGAAAAAACAACTCAAAATCCTCTAAACTAAGTACGTCCTTCGTGCAGGTTCATGGGTTGTTTTGAAGTAGAGTTAGAAGTACCTCAAAGAAAGACATAAGTATAGTTGCCATCATTATAACCTTACTTTACTCCCAGAGGTTCCTCCAAACTGCACCGTAGAGTTGGGCCCGAAAGGCCCAAACCCTAAGCCCTTAACCCTTAACCCTTAACCCTTAGCCCTTAACCCTTAACCCTAAACCCTAAACCCTAAACCCCAACCCCAACCCCCAAACCCCAAACCCCAAACCCCTCCACTCGCAGGATTAGAGGCCGACCCAACGGCCCCCAAGTCGCTCCAGAGGCGGCCCAGCTGCCGGGTCTGCGCGCCCAGCCGGGCCAGGCGGTTCCCTGCGTGGATGACTGTCGCTTGGCCAGGGCCGCCTTCGCTTCCGGTTTGGGGGTTTAGGGTTTAGGGTTTAGGGTTTAGGGTAGCTAGGGTAGCTCGGGTTGCTAACAAAGATCCGAAAGTGCACGAGGTACTTGCAGTGGGCATTCGGGGCGGATCCTGATGTTTTGGGAAGCGCCGGGGCTTTCCGAGGTCGTTGCGGATTCCGGCAAGAAAGAACATTGGCAACGTCCAGCTATAGTCAGAAGATTACACCTGGGCTTGTAAGCCAGAGCGGCCCTAGCCCTTACATTAACCTGGTTTAGGGTTTAGGTTTTAAAGGGTGTAGGGTTTAGGGTTTAGGGGCTCCATATTCTAAAGAGCGCATTCACCGACTGAGCCTGCGAACGCCAAGGTTTGGCCGAAGCTTTGGCCGAGGATCCGACAAAGGGGTGTGACTTCGGCGCACCTTTGAGGGGTTTAGGGTTTCGTTACCCCAACCCTAAACCCTGAACCCCCAAGGCCCTAAGGGTTTAGGGTCAACAAAAAACATAAACATAGATAATCAATAAATACAAAGTATGTGTGTATATGTATATACCTATTTATACACATACACTATACATAACACAATCACTCGCAGGTGAACCAGCGATCAACGAATGAACGCTCAATTTCACATGTCACCAGGACTGGGAGCTATTGAAGAACAGGGACATGAAGACCTGAATCGATGTACTACGGGTTGCACGGACCTGTGCGATGCAACGTAAGAGTGCGGTTGTTGAAGTTATGTATAAGAGAGCATCAGATATGAAGCAGCGATGCTCGCCACGTTGACTGGCAGCACTTGTGATGCTGCAAAGAAACTGCTCTTTACAATCCCTGATCTTCTGTGTATAGGTACAGAGCACATTTCCCCCTTTCATGCTTCTGCACCGAGAAAAAGTAACGGGGGTGAGGTCAAGGAGGCTTCTCGTTATGGCTTTCGGCGGGAATGCAGATGTTTGCGAGGATGTTGGGTCTTATGGCGCATGGCAGGGTCTACTTGGAGGTTCATGGTACTTACTAGCCAATTTTAACTGTACTTATAACTGTGCTTATAACCATATTAGGGCACTTAATGGGGCTCAAAAAATGGGTGTTAAGTACAGTGATAATTGCTGAATAAGTACCCTGAACCTCCAAGCCGAGGTGGGCGGTTGAAAGAAAACCCCTAAACCCTAAACCCCAAACTTTAACCCCTAGCCCTAAACCCTAAACCCCAAATTTTAAACCCTAGCCCTAAACCCTAAACCCCAAACCCCAAATTTTAAACCCTAGCCCTAAACCCTAAACACCAGTGAGCCCACTTCCAGGCCCTCCGGGCACGTATTGGCTGCCCTATCCGCCAAATCTGCCCGTCGACTCCTGCCACCTGCCTCTGTGGTGCTTTACTGTGACTTTAGGGTTTATGGGGGTTTAGGGTGTAGGGTTTAGGGTTTAGGGTTTAGGGTTTAGGGTTTAGGGTTCTTGGTAGCCCGATGGTGCCCTTTACCCGTTTTTTTGGGTTCCGGGTTCCCTAAATAACCAACCCCAAAAAGGGTGCCCTTATCATAATACGGTTATTGGGCGACCCAATGGTGCTTTACTGTGACTTTAGATCCTTAGCCTTTTTGGGTTTATTGGGTTTCTTAATAAGGCAGCTAAAAATCGAGTTTACAGCTACCCTAAAGCCAAGCTGTCTGCACATGGATGACACCCCTAAGCTCCTTTTTGTGGCAATTGGTCTCGTTGTTGAACCCTAAACATTGGTGCGGCAAGGAAATGACTCGAAATCTTAAGCCCTAGGCCCTGAAATACTGGTGGCAAGAGAACGATTGCGGAGCCAGGTTGAGGTAAAGGCTTGCGAGGGGTTTGGCACGGTCGAGCCTGGACCATCCCACAATGCTGACGAAGAGCACTTGGAGGTTTCGAAGTACCCTAAATACTGGATTATAAGTAGAGCTTCTATACTCGCAACCCTTAACCCTTAGAACCCTAAGCCGTGCTTTAACCTAAGTAGAGTTACCATACTTATAACCCTAAACCCTCAACCCTAAAAAAAAAGAACCCTACGTAGAACGACCCAAATGAACCTCAAAAGCAGAGACGCGCGATCGCAGCTCAGGTCAGCTTTGCCCTCCGGGATCCTATTGCCCAGGACTCCTTTATCTTGGGCTGGTTTAGGGTTTAGGGTTTAGGTTTAGGGTTTAGGGTTTAGGGTTTAGGGCATGGTTTTCGTCCCTGGCAGGCAGTGCCGCAGTCCTAGCCGTAAAAAAGGGTTTAGGGTTTAGGTTTGGGGTTTAGGGTCTAGGGTTTAGGTTTCATGCTCTAGGGGGGGGGGGGGGGGTTAATCTCAATGTATACATATGAATGTATATGTAACCTTCAAACCCTAAACTTCATGAACCATGAAGACCTGAACGCAAACGCCCTGAAGCCACGCATGTCACCAACTCGCTTTGAGAAGCCTCATTGCCCGCTCTGGGTGCCGAATCTGATTCTTAGCTACACATTCGCCTTCGAATTAACAAGCAGAGTAATGAAGGACCCAAAGCGTATTGTTCAAAAGTCCCCAAAGAAAAGTAGGTATGAAAACAGGGGCCCTTCCTTGTAGGGGTGAATTAAGGAGTACTCTGTAATTGAGGGGGTGATGGGGCTCTTTTGCATTGCCGCACTGGCTTAGGGTTTACGCGGTTTAGTGAAGGGTTCTTGGGGTGTGTTCTCCACGTTTAGGGCTAGGTATCGACCCGAGTTCTTGTCGAGTTTTTTCGGGTTCCATGGGAAAACTACTGTGAATCAGACGTTTCTGGCTAAGGGATCACTGTGTTCACAAGCTGTGGGTTTCGGACCGGGCGCAAGGAAAATGCGCTCACGGCCTCAAAGGTGGCAAGGTTTACTTCAAGGTCCCAACAGCATGGCCCGCTGACACAGTGGTCAGGAGTTCCCTACGGCAACTTCACGGACTACCCGGTGAACCTGAACCGTCGCATCTTGTGCCCCGCCGGTCGCCGCTTGGCCTTCTTTTCTATGTTTTTTGTCTTGAGGGTTTAGGGTTTAGGGTTTAGGTTGCTTAGTTGTACCAGAGCAGGCCAATGCCCCTTAGTTCATTCCGAGAGTAGCTGAACGACATAGCCACCGAACCTATTGTTGAATGAAGGGGTGTGGCATCAAATTGTGCCTGAAACCCTAGGGTGTACTTGGACTTTGCTTTATGCTTAAGAACCCCGTCCCCCCCCCCCCCCCAAAAAAAAAAAAAAAAAAAAAAAACATTGGAGGGCAATATAGGGATCGTTTTTTTTTGGTTTGGGGGTTTCTTAAACGAATAGTAGTGGAGGTTCATGTTAGAAGTAGGGTTATAATTATGGCAACTCTGCTGGTAACCCTAAATATTGTACAATTGCCCATGAGCCTCCAAGTAGGGTTGTAGGTTGGGATGTTTCCCCTTATACTGACAGTCCTCAACCCTAAACCCCAAACCCTAAACAGTAAACCCTAAACCCTAAACCCCAAGAGGGATTATAGTACCCCCTCCAACGATAATCCCGATTAAGGTCTGCTAGTCTTGGGGGGACCAAAATATTTACCCATGAGCCTGCGGGTAGGGTTTGAGGATCCCAAACCCCAAACGCTAAACCCTAAAACCTAAACCTCAAACCCTAAAACCCTAAACCCTAAACCCTGAACTCCAAACCCTAAAACGGCTCCCTCTTCCCAGCGCCCCGGAGGCTTCAAGAACATCACCGGCGCCGCCACGCTGGAGGACTGCGACTTTTGCCCGCCGGGCTTTTTCAATAGCACCCCTGGCTGAAGTGAGACGACTCGGACATGGGTCATGGGCTCCCTACTACTGCCCCCCTCCCCCCATAATCAAGGCAATTTAGGGATAACTTGGCCTTATTCAGCTTATTTATATAAGGGGGGAACCCAAGGGGGGTAGCATAGAGGGGGGTAATTAGTAGGGAAACCCATGAATGGGGGTTTCCGAAAATAGGGGCTACGTTTTTGGGGGTACCGAAAAAAGATTTCGACTCTATTGGGGTATAAAAAATGTTCTGGGAAACACCCACGTAAAGATTGTGATTTGGGATGTTCCCCCTTATACTAACAGTCCTCAATAGGGATTATAGTACCCCCTATTCTAATCCCGATGAAGGACTGCTAGTATAAGGGCGAACATCCCAGATTGTGATCATTTGTTTATCTTTCATGAGTGTTCATGATTGTTTATGGTGGCGATTTGCTTTATCTTTAAGAGCTTTCGTTGTTACATGGTTTGGATACATGGAGTCCCAGGGCAAGCTAGGTAAGTCCGTGGGGTCCTAAACTAAACCCGAATTGTGACTGCAAGTCACTTAGTCTCCCCTAGAAACCCGATGAAAAGCCTCACAACCCACCTTGCCCTAACCCTAAACCCTGGTGGGGGGTTTAGGGTAAGGTGGGTTTGGGAGCATCTAATTTGACAATCCTTGTTAGCATGGTTTTCCGAGGGATTAGCGTTTAGGGTGTAAGGTTTAGGGTGACTGGAGGTGATTCGGCTCTTACTTGTCTTCGTGTCATCTGACTCTCTGGACCCCCCCCCCCCCCCCCAAAAAAAAAAAAAAAAAAAGAAAAAACAAAAGACTCAATTCCAAACAAGGGCTCGATCTTGCCAGGCTTGATTTTCGGTCCAGGCTTCCAAGCAGGTTTTCGTCTTCCCCCTCGCCCTCGCAAGCAGAAACCCCAATCGAAATGCTATGTTCCCAGAGAATCCAACACCCCTTATAAATTCAGAATATTCCTTAAACCGCATAAGAAATCCTCTTGCCTTTAAGGAACGGTCCTTAAAACATGCAAAGAATCTTCTTGTGTGTTTGAGGAATGCTCCTTTCCTTAATTGAGGGGCATTGGTTATTATATGTGTGCTTAGGGTCTCAACACGGGCCCGCAGTTTAGATCCAACCCCCATGGAAAAAGGCCGAAGCCCAATATAAGCCAAGGAACCCTCACATTTCCTTTAGGGTTGAGGGTTTAGGGTTTAGGGTTAGGGAAATAGGGAGTTCAGGGTTGGGACCAGCCAGACAGGGTCCAAAACAAACTTCAGAGCTCTGCGCCCTTGCGCGCCTTGCGTGAGGGTAGGGGTTCAGAGCCTTAGACAGCAGAGCCGTCCCTGCAAGTGGATTACAAGGGCAAAAAATGGGCTTCCTGCAAGTAGGGGCCCCAGCTAGATATAAGTAGGATGATAAGGGCATAAAAAATGGGGTCATAAGCTATATGTTGTAGGTCAGAACTCGCCGAGCGAAAGTTGGTATAGTAAGGGGGGGCCCTACTTGTGTTCTCTTGAGGTGAGGCTGGGTCGACTCTTTGCGTGGGCTGCCCGGCCGGTTCCTTTGCTGCATGTTCAGGTGATGGGAGTGTTTGGTCTGGGGCTATAGTTAATCGTAACCCTCAACCCCCCCTCCCTCCCAAAACGAACCCCTAGACCCTATGCCCTAAACTCCAAACCACAAATTTTGCAAACACTAAACCCTCAGATTTCTTGGTGCGCCTTGCGAGTTGCTGGGTGCGTGCTGGAGCTTTTTCGGAAAGGGAAGCTCCCTGGATCCCTTTGTCGCTTACATGTTTGCTGGCTTGCCACGGTTTTTTGGGGATTTTTAGGGTTTAAGGTTTTAATTAGGATTTAGGGATGTTTAGGGTTGAGGGTTTAGGGTTTTTTTTGGATTTAGGGATGTTTGGGGTTGAGGGTATATGTTCTTTTGTTTTAAACACATGGCTCTGCCGGCGCCCGTTTGCTTTTTGTGCAGCTGTGAATGCATCGCCACGAGACACGCAATGATGCGGCGATGGTTGTGCTTTCCGCACTTCAAGGTGGAGTACAGTGCCGAGAGTCAGGGTGAAGTAGCGGTGAGCAGTTGGTAGTCGAAGCTTTGAAGAGAAGCTGGAGAGAAAGGACCGAGTGACCACAAAAAACTGGGCGCCTGGATAGGGTACCCTAAACCCCAAACCCTAAACCCCAAACCCTAAACCCTAAACCTTAAACCCCAAACCCTAATTAAACGGGTCTGTGTTGTGCGGGAGGCACAAAACAAGAACACCCAGTTCCCTTAGGGGCACAGGTGCCCTACGAACCCCATGAGTTTACCCAAAGAATCCGTAAAATCCCTTCAAACATATGCCATTTACTCTGAAGGGGTCCTTAGTATGATTCAAGGAATGTTTCGAATTTGAGGGGTATATTGGGCCCTACACCTTAAACCCTATAGACCCCAACAAAAAAGCCCTATTCAATTCCCTCATTAAGGAGCTTTATAGGGCCTCTTTGTTTGGGCCACCAGCTAAACCCTAAACCCTAGGTACCTACTCCATCACGTCGGGATCTTCCAACACCGGGGACTGCAGCCTTTGTCCTGCTGGGCACTTCTGCCCTGCGGCCCCTTGCCTTCTATTCTGCGCAGGCTTGAGTTTAGGGTTTAGGGCTTTTAGTGTTTTTTTAGTGTTTTTTTTAGTGTTTTGAGGGTTTATAGGGTTTATAGGGTTTATAGGATTTATAGGGTTCTCATGCTGTTGGCTCCTTAGGCCACGGGTGCTCATGGCAGTCTTGCATCGCCGGTGTGGAGTTTTGGTTGGTTTTTTTTTCAGATGGTTCTGGGTTCAGGATTGGGAATCGAAAGGTCCTGGGATTTGGGATTTGAGGGATTTTCCGGCGCTGTCTCTGTTGAAGCGACCCTTTTGGCTCTCTCCCCATGGATCTACCGGGGACAGAGACAGCCCCAAGCATTTGTACTCGGGTACATATGCGTTTTCTATGGGTCCGAAGTATAGTGGCCATACTCATGGCTGCACTTGTAACTACCCACATGACCCTCCAAGCATTCACACGGTGAGTCGCCCACGTCTCCCCAAGACCGCGAGGCCTACGGCAAGCGCGTGTAGATGCGATCAGTCAGCCACAACAGTTCAGAGCCAGCTGCTAGAAGAATGTAACGGCATAAGAAGAAACGGCATATTCATGTAGTTAAAATGTCACCATCGAAAAATGTTCATAGTGTAATGTGGTAGTAGCATAAAAACAATCATAGCAAAACAAGAAGATGCTATATACTAAGTATTTTAATGATATAGTACGACAGTACCTTAATGCATTTAACACATTAAGAAAGAATTGTAAGGTCTGCTTGGTTTGCTTATGTAAGCATACAATCGCACAACATATCATCATGTAACAGTATAACCATACAACAATGGTAGAAATACTCATCTTCTAATGTGATAAGAACATAAGATAAGATTATACTGCTGTATGATTAATAACTGAGCATATGAATATAATACTTTCGCAATTCAATAACTGCCCTAACAAAAAGAATTATTGCAATGATGTCATCATACAATGGTATACTCATACAAACAAGGTCATAGTGTAAACCTGTTATAAAGCTATTATATAACCATAACGACCATGATAATAGCAACAATAACACAGTAACTAGCAACAGTGCGTGATTTTGAGTGATTCCTAAACCCTACACCCCAAAAACACAGCTGGCTGGGGCTTCTGGTGAGGCCACTGGGCACCCAGTGCCGTGCGCTCCCGGCACTTTCGTGTCCTTTGCTGGGATGACGTCCGACACGGACGGGTCGGGGCTGTCCTTGTCCATTGCCATACACGCACCTCATATTCCACCACAAGTTCCGAAACCCAACATGCTGGAACGCCGAAATTATTCAGTTTGAAAGGGAGCGGGAGGGGAGGGAGAGAGAGAGAGAGAGATTAGAGGGAGGGGTCCGGATTTGCAACCCAAGGCATAAATTTTCGTAGCACAGCATACGTAGGGTCCTTATGACTTCCTCTCAAGTTAAGGGACCCTGGCACTGTAAGTACCGGAGGCGCAGAATTTGAAGGCTTGGGGGCGGGGATCTTACTTTCAGTGTTTTTTTTGTTTGGGGGCCGTTCGGGGGGCTGTTAGGGTGCCCAGGTTTAGGGTTTAGGGTTTAGGGTTTAGAGTTTAGGGTTTAGGGTTTAGGGTTTAGGGTTTATGGTTTAGGGTTTAGGGTACTCAGCAGAATCCTGGCATGAAGCAGTTTCCAGGTTCAAAGAGGGTCAGAAGGGTTTAGGCTTGAAACCTTCGGTGCCGAGGGGTTGGGTCGACCAGCCGCGCAATGGCCACTAGGATGAAACAAGCAGGGTTTAGGGTTTAGGGTTTTGGGTTTAGGGTTTAGGGTTTAGGGTTGAACGGGAGCAGAGGGCAACGACCTGAACGCCCTGTAGCCCAGCCCTAGACCATAAAGATCCCTAAGCCCAGAGAGTCCAACACCACTTATCTCTACCATGCCCCTTGATGAAGGATTTTCCATCTAAACCCTGAACCCTGAACCCTGAGCCCTAATTAAACCCTAAACCCTAAACCCTGAACCCTAAACCCTAAACCCTAAACTTACGTATGGGTAGGGCTCTTTGGGCCTTGTGGTCTCGGTAGCCCACGGGTCTCTGGGACCTTGCACCTCTCAGCCCTCATTCCCTGCGAGGACTGCAGTAACTGCACGGTGGGCCACTACTGCCAGCTTGGCACGGCAGCTTCTCTCAAGGGGGTTTAGGGTTTAGGGTTTAATCCGAGCATCTGATTAGTGGGTGGGCCCCCCCCCCCCCACACTAAGGAATGCAGGGTTCCGCAATAGTTGGACCGTGGCCCTGTATTGATTCTCTATTAAAAACAATAGGCTGCAGATCCCTGAGGTGCTGTAGCTTTGCGTCTCCGCAAGCAAAACAAGAAGCCTGCCGACAGATTTTTGAACCCCCCCCAAAAAAAATCCTTTAAATGTGGGGGGTTTGTCCCATACGAAATCCACCCTAATGGAAAGTAGTCTTCCGGCGGGCTTCCGGCCAAAAAAAATTCTTTAAATGTGGGGTATTAATGAATCAGATGCTCGGATTAGGGTTTAGGGTTTAGGGTTTAGGGTTTAGGGTTTAGGGTCCAGGGGTTGAGGGTTACTTTCGACATGCGGGTACAGGGTTTGGGGCTTAAGGCTTTCTTCGGCCAGAGTCCCTGAGGCAGCTCCACAGAACTTTCGGCTCATGCTTGTTTCTTTCTGCCCTGAACTTTCCGTGACATTGCGAGAGTGTCGCATTCAGGTAGGACAAGGTTCGACCCACCGCCCAGAGTCGCCAGTGCACAAGACCACCTTAAACCCTAAGCCCTAATCCCTAGACCCTAAGCCGTAAACCCTCGACTCAAACCCTAAATCCTGAAGATTAACCCCGCTTCCCCCATAGACTCCTAGCACACTAGGACCCCACCCATACAGAATCTGGGACCCAGAGTAGGCCCCTGTTCCGCTGTTCTAGGGTTTTAGGATCCCTTATAAGCCCCTTTAAGCCACAGGGCGCCCTTCTTATTACTAGGTTACTCTTGGGTCTAACAGGGTTTAGGGGTCTAGGGTCTAGGGTTTAGGAATAGAATATATCTTTTGTTCGGGTGGTTGAATGTCTCCGCCGCACCGGCGATGTACAATTCACCTTAAGTTCAGGTTTGCACGGTAGGTTTGCTCATGTAACATAAACCCAAAGCTCCTTATTTAGGGTCCCTTGTTGGGGACCCCTAGGCCCTAAAACCTGAACCCTAAACCCTAAACCCTAAACCCTAAACCCTAAACCCTAAACCCTAAGCCTAAACCCGTCAAAGCGAGCACGAGTGCGAGCGGTCTCGAGCTGGCAAAGTCTGCATTCAGACATCGGCTTGCACATTCTTTCTAGGGCCTTTAGGGTTTTGGGCATCTCCCCCAAGTCGGGTTGCTCTTCTATAACCTCCAAACAACACAGATACTATAATCCTTACTAGTATATGAACCTCAAGAAGGCTGCTCCATATAGTCGGAACCCCCCCCCAAAAAAAAAATGGACGAGTGACCATTGTCTCCTTCTGCCCCCTTTAAATTTTCAAACAGGGTACCCTGGCTATTCCTGGGTTACTCTTGGGTCTTGACAAGTATATAGGGGGTCCTCACTTCGAGCTGTTTAGGGTTTAGGGTTTAGGGTTTAGGGTTTAGGGTTTAGGGTTTAGGGTTCTCGCCCTGGACCCTGCAAGCGCCCAAACCCTGATCACGACCTGAAGCACTCATCTGAAACGAAAGCCCGGCAAGAAGGTGCACCCCATGGAATGCCCGCCCGGCAGCTACGGCAACACGACCGGCCTGGCAGGAAATGGCTTCCTGGGGTTAATTTGGCATGTTTGTTTCAAAGTTCTGTGGGCCCTATATCCCCAATATAGAATTTTTCAGGTCCCTTCCTTAGCTACCGGTACATTCCTCAGCTACAGGGCATATGGACAGATTAGGCCTATAGTAGCCCTAAACCCTATAAACCCTAAACCCCAAGCCCGAAAATCTGTTAGGGTTTAGCCTTTAGGGTTTAGAGTTTAGGGTTCAGGGCCCAAGCAAAACCCTCTTAAACCAGAAGCCCTAAACCGTCAAAAAGTTAAAAGCTGCACCACAAGACGGAACCTAAGAGCCCAAGACCCCGTAGTTCAGGGTTCAGCCTTAACAAGAGGGATCCTTGTTCTGGTTTGTGATGTATTTCCTTAAACCCTAAACCCTACAAAACCCTGAACCCTAAACCCTAAAACCCTAAAACCCTAAACCCTGAACCCTAAACCAAGGGCTCTTTGGGGTTCTGAGGCTCCTATCCTGGCACCTTCCTGCCCGCGGACTGGGTGGACATTACAGTATCTGGCGATCCTCAGAGTGGATTTAGGGTTTAGGGTTTAGGGTCGGGTTAAGGGTTTATGGTTTAGGGCGGAGGTTCATGGGTAAGTTTAAGTAGTGTTATGAGTGTCCTATGTGGGGCTAGAAGTAGAGTTGCCATACTTACAACCCTACTCCAACTACCCATGAGCCTCCAAGTAGGGCCCTCTGTAATGCCCTTAAAGTTTTAGGGCTTCTAAGGGTATGTTTCTGGATTAGGGGGGCTATATTGGGCCCTAAACCTTTAAACCCGGACCCCTAAACGCTAAACCCTAAATCTCTGGGTTTCTCCTAGTAGTTGCTTAAGAACCCCCCAAAAACACAGAAATATTCTTCCTTAGAAGCGTAATTATTATGGGGATTGTTTTTTTTTGTTTTTTTCATTTTTTCTTTTGGGATTCTGACCCAAATAGTAGTTTCCCTAAACCCGAAACCCTTAAACCCCTCGGTTTCAGTCTGACAGCTTTGAACACCGCTGAGGTAGGGGACACGGACTGCGCGGCCTGTCCATCCGCGGCCTTCTGTGTTACTGCCCCTGGGGGTCTCGAACATGGCAGGGTTAGGGTTTAGAGCTATAGGGTTTAGGGTTTCGGGTTTAGAGTTTAGGGTTTAGCAAACGGGTTCAAGTTTAGGGTTTCATGTGTGTCAGCAGCTCAAAAAGGTTTGGGGTTTAGTTTAGGCTTTCCTGCCCTTCAAAGGGTAGAGGGGGAAGGTTTGGAGTGTTAGGAGTTGGGGACGTGTTTTTTGCTAAACCTTTTGCGCCTCCACACCCGCTGAATGCACACACACACACACACTATACAAACCGCACGAACCCTGTGTGCCTTTGTCCTTCCCTGCCCTGTATTCAGGGCCCCTATGGAGTTTATATGGTTAAGGATGCATTCAATTCCTATCCAAAGGGTTGTAACGAGGGGCAGAGATATGACTAGAGTCAGGTTGCACATATTCTTACCTGGGTTATGGACATTCCCCAATCTCTAGGGCCTTCCTCGTAACATGAGGGCTTGCAGCATGCTCGAAAGGTTCTCTTGGCCCAGGTCTCCCTGAGACCTTGGGTTTAGGAATTAGAGTTTAGAGTTTAGGGTTTAGGCCTGAGGGTTTCCCATACAGCCTTAGGCCCTGAAATCCGCAAGCCGAGGGCAGCACCCGCCCAACGCAGTGCCCAGCCGGGACTTTCTCCACAGGACTCGCCAAGGACATGGGTTTGGGGCCAAAAGGCAGTTTATACGAAACTCCGCAGCCCACAGAAACCTGCGCGCTGAAATGCTGCGTGTGTGGATGCACCTGATACGAACTCTTGCTTTCACCTTCCCGCTGAACTCTTCGAACTCTGTTACTGGACTACTAATTGCTGAAGAACACCCCCCCCCCCCCCAAAACAAACAAAGACAAAACACTTCCTTATAAGGGCAGTCTAGGGATTTTATCATTCATTTGTTGGGCGTCCTTAGGCAAATCGTAGTGGAACCGCAGCTAGAAGTCGGGTGGTTTTTATCCACCTAATATTTGCCCTACTTACCACCTTGCATTGCAAGTCTGCATGAACATGGCCGAACTCACCGAGATGCTTGACACATCCGGATCAGTTCTCCATCAAAAGGGCTCTTTTGATCTGAGAGAAGGGAGGAAGGGGGGTGACCCCCGGTTACAATGCGCGAGACTGCACGACATGTTCCACTTCGAGAAATGGCTCTGAATGCCCTAAACCCTAAGCCCTAAACCCTAAACCCTAAACCCTAAACCAGGAAGAAGCCGACTGTGAAGTCGCCTGCCTTGCATTACTAGGACCGGGAGTAGGCCGCTTTTTTCCCCTTTTTTAGGGTTGGTGTTCCCTGGTTACTCTAGGGTTTGGGGTTTAGGGTTTAGGGTTTATGATCATAAGCTAGGAGGCTTGGCCACAAGCATTGTTTTTTTTCACGCTGCGTGTCGCCCGCTTTTGCAAGTCCTTGTAAGGTGCCGTGCTGCAGTTCTATTTTGGGACCTAAACAGGGCCCAGAAATTCCAATACCCTCGGATTGGAATATTTCTTTAACACAATATTCGGGTTCCTTAAATGGTCAGGGCTTCCCAGACAGGAACCTCTCAGGCCTCTAGACCTACACTCTAGTACCATAATGGCACGGCCTGCCCCGCCCCGACCCCATTCCGCAAGGGTTGGGGCTTACCCAGGTCTGCCCTGTTGGCTTCAAGTGCGGCCAGACGGTTGTGACGGCCAGCTTGGCATGCGTTTCAGCGCTTCCTTAAAATCCCATAGTATCGTGCAGCCTCAAGGGTTTTGGGGGGTTTTAATAGTATACTTTTATAGGGACCATAAGGGAATAGGGGGTTATTCTAGTATAATTCTCTAGGGACCATACGGAAATACTATTAGTAATTATTCCGACCCATATATTGCTCCAATTGGCTTCATCTCCTCCCTTCCTCTTGCCTCTCCCTGAAATTTCCTTCGTTTTGCATGACATGCTTTGCTTGCATTTTGTTGTTCTCCTTTCTACGTACTTAGTGTAGGATGGACACATTCTCTACTGCAACCACATTGTTGTTCACACCCCCCCAACTTGTAGCAAATCCTCTGCTCCCAAGCTCCCCAAAGAGCCCTTAAAGCCATCTAAACAAGGCCGATGCCTTAAATCACACGAGGGACCCCTATATGGGTTTAAGCTGTATTCCTCATTTGACCGGTATTGGGCTCTTGGGGTCGTTTTGGGACACAAGCTTGAGGACTTCATGCAGTCCGCCGTGTCGCGCGAGCCCGATGGAAGTTCCACAGCAGGCGCACTGTGCACATCGCGGGATGTCTGGAACCCGGGGACTCCAATACTACTATGGGTCATAGAAAGAATATTCCTGAAACCCTATAAGTAACCCTGTTGTATGTTGAGCATCATACATGTTGAGGAAATTTCCTTCATCAGTGGGTATTGGAGTCCCTGGGATGTGTGCTTTGCCAGACAGAACACGGTTTTGGGAATTGGAAGAACAGTTCGCGTGGCTTCATCTGCCCAAAGGGGCTTGGAGGGGTCTTGAGGTGAGCTTGGGTAGAAAAGGTTAGGATCTTAGGCTTTTCTTTAGGGTTTTCAACCCCAAACCCTGGACCCTATACCCTAAACCCGAACAAAATCCTCCTCAAAGCACCAACCCAAGGGCTCTAGGAACTTCAGCTCCTGGTCGGTCCTTCTGGGCGCGGAGTACTCCACGAACCTAAACCCTAAACCCTAAACCCCAAACCCGAAATCCATGCCGGCGAGGCAGCGATGGCCCAGAAGCATGCCCGGAGGACCATCCCCTCCACTTTTTGTTTTTTCACCACAGGGTTTAGGGTTTAGGGTTTAGGGTTTAGGGTTTTTTGTCTATTAACATACCCAAGGACATATCAAACATCCCTGAGGCATGCCCGGAGGACCATCCCCCACCTCAGTTGGTTTCCTTCGATCTAGGGTGCAGGGGTTTAGGGCTTCAAGGTTTTTTTTTTTCGTCGCGAGGCCTGGATGTAAACAAAAGAAAAGGGTTTTTTGTTGTCTACATCGACCCCAAGAGCTTACTAAAGAAATCATTTTCATTATCCCTATCAGAACTCTATCTACCTTAAAGGTGCATGAAATCTAACATCCCAATATCTCCTGAAAGGTGCATTGAATCAATAAATGTTCCTTAACGAAGGAACATGGCTTCAAAAATACGGATCCCGTGTATCATGTTTTGTGCTGTCGAAGATGCCCACAGAGCCCAAAAGCCCACCCTCCTTAAACTATATAGGGATCCTTAGTATGATTTAAGGTTATTCCGCAACTAAGGGCTATTGGGCTCTTGGGGTGGTGTCCCTTGTATCCCGTCCTGCTTCTGTGCGCTGGCGATGTGTCGGCAGAGCAGCATGCCGCATTCGGAAAGTTCTGTAGAGCCAATTGGGTGATAGGAGATACAGCGAACTGCTGAGCTGCGAATCCAACACCGTCCAGGACAACACGACGATTCATTTTTCCTTCCCGAATTACACGGGCTGCGTGGAGAACTGTCCGTACCACTTCGAGCGCCAGAGCTACTGCCACGTCGCCGGCGATGGCCGAGTACCAGACAGGACACGTCGTGGTTGCATTTCCGGGTTTAGGGCTTATAGGGCAGCATTGCAATCGCTCTGAAGTTCTTCTGTCTTATCTCGAAGAGAATTGCTTTCGTTTCGGGTGCACCGACATATCTGCAGGAGTGTAGTGCCTTGCACTTGGACAGGACGGCTACAGCGGCGCGAGTTGAGCAACTCGTCCGTTGCGTTACGCAAGAGCCCAATGGCGTTTAGCGTCTGATAAAGCTGAGTTACTATTTTAGTTATATCTTAGAAGTAATTCGGGTGGCGCCCTGACACGGGTTCAGACTTTATAGGGTCTACCCCAAACCAAATCTACACCTCGGACCATCTCAACCCGAAGCCAGGGGCCAGCAACCGGCCCATGGTCAGTACAAGGAGGTTCTCAGGGCGCTAAATGAGGTCCTGACTATAATGACTTCTCCAGGATTTCGAGTTAATTTGGGTTTAGGGTCGGTTAGAACTAAGGGCGCTAAACGGGGTCATGACGATGATAACTTCTCAGGATTTCGAGATATTTTGCGTTTAGGGTAGGTTTGACTCAAGTACTTTAAAGGGCTCCTTGTCTGCTGAGTGCCCTAAACCCTAAACTAAACCCTAAACCCTAAACTAAACCCTAAACCCTAAACCCTAAACCCTAAACCTGACATCCGCGGAGGCAGCTCATCGACCTCCGTGGACCCCGCGGAGATGCGGTGCGCTCTCAGGTAGGGTTGGGGGCTTCGGTTCGGGGCTGGGCGGTAACCTTTCAACCTTTCTGGCTATATGTAATCCTAGTACAAACCCTCAACCCTAAACCCTAAACCCTAAACCCTAAACCCTAAACCTATGTCAAAGGTGAACCTTGCTTGGGCAGGCGGGTATTCAGCACCTAAGCTCCGGTTTTGTTCTGCAAGAAGGGGGAGTTCAGGCCTGACATGTGACAACTTAGGCGTAAAGAACCTTATACTACTTGGAGGTTCATGGTACTTACTAACCAATTATAACTGTACTTATAACCCTACTTATAATACCTCTAAAGGGCCTTATAGGGGTTATCCCAATAATAAGTAGGGTTATAAGTACAGTTAGAATTGGTTAGTAAGTACCATGAACCTTCAAGTACAGCTAGTAGAGAAGGGGGGGGTGCAAGAGCTTCTTGATTTGGGCGTTTTGGGGTTTAGGGTTTACGGTTGCGTGATGTTTCTGAAGGGAAGTTGCATGTGTGCCGGTTTAGGGTTGAATGCGACAGGCTTTAGCCGACTTGGGCATGATCTTGGGCAACCTCACCGCGGAGGCGCCGTGTGCCGAATGGGTACCCAGAGAGCCCCAATATGCGAACGCCGGAACGGAACGGAACTTGATCATCCTTGTCTTGCTGGCTGTCGGGTTTGCTAAGCTGCCCTAAACCCTAAACCCTAAACCCTAAACCCTAAACCCTAAACAGGGTTATAGGGTTAAAGGGTTCAGGGTCTCACCATCCTTTTGATGCGCCCCGCCCCGGTGAAAAGATAAGTTTGCTGGCTTCAGCAGGGTGGGGCGCACTTTGAGAATCATTTGCTCTGCTTTCCAGGGTTTGAAAGGGGGGGAGGGTTTAGGGTTTAGGGTTTAGGGTTTAGAGTTTAGGGTTTAGGGTTTAGGGTTTAGGGTTTAGGGTTTAGGGTTTAGGGCTGGGGGGGAGTGAAGGGAGGGAAAGGGTGGGCAAGAGTGCTGTGCGTTCAACAAGTCTTGATGCGTTCTAGAAGCTTTGCCAGGATTCGTATATGCAAAACCGTTTTGGAACCAGAGTTCTAGGAACAGTTGACTGATAATTGCTTAAGAACCCCCAAAAACAATGAAAAAGACATACTTCCTTATATGCGCAATATGGGGTTTTTTGGGGGTTCTTAAGCAAATAGTAGTTGAGTTGGGCACAACCTGGCCCTCTCAAGTTGAGACGTTGTTGACTTGGTAGCCCAGTGGTACCCTTTACCCTTTTTTTGGTTCTGGGTTCCCTTATAACCCTAACCCCTAAACCCTACACCCGATTATAATAGGGCTACTGGGCTACTAAGTTGGGCACAGGAGGCAGCAGGCAACCTGACCATGATCGACCACAACGGGCGGGGACCGCTACACAAGGTGGGGGCACAAAGCGCAATCTTCAGTTCTAAACCCTGAAACCCTAAAACCCTAAAACCCTAAAACCCTAAACCCTGAGGTTTATAAGGAGCAGTGTTCATCCTACAGCTCCTCCCCACACAGCGCAATGAAATCCTAGCGTCCTAGCAAGCCCTGAAAACAAGTCTAAGCCCAAGCCGCACGACGCGCTGGCATCGGCGGTTTGTCTTCAGGTGGCGAGGGCCATCGAGGGGCCATAGATCTTCAACGAAGGGCTTGCGGTTTAGGGCCGAGTGTTTTTTTTGCATGAGGGTGAGGGTTTGGGGTTTAGGGTTTAGGGTTTAGGGTTTAGGGTTTAGGGTTTAGGGTTTAGGGTTTAGGATATTTGCAGGGCTCAAGATTCTGGCAATTAAGGTATATTCCTGCAGCAAGCAGTTTGGCAGGGTCTGGTCAAAGACTGTCCGATCGTGCAGCTCCTGTGTCCCCACTTACAAGCCAACTGAACGGCCCCACCTTTGTCATCGTGGGGTGTAATATCATCTTTAAAAAATTAGGGTACTTAAACTCTATAAAGAATAGAAATATGGATTCTTAATACAATCCCAACCATGAACTAGCCCCCAACAACCTCTATACCAATCCCGATATGGGGGTTTACGATATTACGGGCACCATATTGGCGTCCTTATTATCAGAGAATCCTACAATCTTGGGGTCCAGGTTTAGGGTTTAGGGTTTAGGGTTTACGGTTTAGGGTTTAGGGTTTAGGTTTTTTTCGTAACCCCCCATATGATCTCAGGAACCTTAGGGTCGTTGCCACGCGCCTCAAAGAACAACAGCCCAATATGCTTTAACCAGAAGCATTCGCTCATTAAGCCCTAAACCCTAAACCCTAAACCCTAAACCGTCTAGATCCCTTGTGAACTCGGCGCTCGTTTAACTTTGCTTGGGCCCTACAGCTACGGCCTTAAACCCCTTCAACGCTGTACTTGTAGGTTCATGGGTAGGTATAATCCTTGTTCTAAGTATGGAAACTGTTTTTCCAGCCCGACTTATTGCAACCCGACTCTGGCTACCCAGAAACCTCCAAGTAACCCCACAACAGAGGCCAAGAACCAGAAGGTTCATGGGATGCCTGTCTTTAGGGTTTAGGGTTTAGGGTTTAGGGTTTAGGGTTTAGGGTTTAGGGTTCATGGGATGCCTGTTGTTGTTCGGCTCCTTCAGCTTCAAGCAACGGTTTAGGATTTGGGGAAAAGGGTTTAGGGTTTAGGTCCCCTCCAGCTAGAAGTAGAGGTGCAAGGGCCTAAAGTGGGTTTCAGGAATTGTTTATTTTAGGGTTTAGGTTCCCTCCAGCTAGAAGTAGGGCCTAAAGTGGGTTTCAGGAATTGTTTATTGCGATTAAGCAAGATCAGGAATAAGCTCAGGCTAAATATGAGAAAGCGAAGTACAATTAGTTATGACTGCTTTTGGTATTATTGAATACCCAAAGGGCCCACTACCCCTTAATTAAGGAATACCTTAAAACCATATAGCGGCCCTTCTCATGATTTAAGGTCTATTCCTTAATTAAGGAGTATTGGGCTCTTGGCTACCCTTAAAACCCCCTAAAACCCCTACCAATCTTAGGATAGTTGCATGGTCCCTTAGGGTCCCCTTTATATACCGCTTGAAACTCAAGGGCCCCTTTAAAGGAGGTAAGGGACCACGTTGAGGCCGCATGAAACTACCCCCTTAAGCCATGGTATGCTATAGAGGTATTCCTATCATAAAAAAAGCATGTTCCTTTAACTGTCCCCGGACCATGAGACTACCCGCAGCATCAATTATCTCGAGGCCGCGATGCTGGACGACGTCCCTTTGTTGGATGCGCCTTGGCAAATCTGTGGGTCATCCTAAACCCTAAACCCTCTTGCAGGGCACGCCCGGACATGTTCAGGACGTGCGGTTTTCAACACGGCAGGAGGTTCCAAGGCCTAAACCCTAAACACTACCCTCCGTCCACTTCTGGGTTCCTACAGAGGGCCTTTAGGATCCTTGTAATGGGCTGGAGAATCCATTTTACAGGCTTCTAGTACTACTAATTGCTTAGTCACCCCCCAAAACATAAACGATAATGACCCCTATATTACACTTATAAGGAATATTTTTTGGGGGCTTCTTAAGCGAATAGTAGATTAGTTTATTCTTTTCTTATTGCCCTTGTTATCATAAAAACAAGGGCTAGTATGTTCTTATGTCACGATCTGTGTACATTATCATGCTCGTATTCATTCTGCTTGTTTTGGCTCTGTCTCTGCTCGTATTCGTTCTCTCTCTGTTGGAATTCATTCGTTCTCTCTCTGCTCGTGCTCATTCTGCGCAATAGGGTATCATTAGATCATGTTGTCAGTAGGATCCTCTGGGTTTTGGGGCGTTAGGATCCTTCGGGTCTCAGCCGTTCTTCCCCCCCTCCCCCCCCGCCCAGAGAGCCCTAATTTCCCAATAGACCTTCAACGATAGATCCTTTCATAGTATGACTTCGGGGTCTCTATGAAACCCTAAACCCTAAACCCTGTTAGTAGGATTTTAGGATCTGTTCCTTGGGATGTTCGCCCTTATGCTAACAGTCCTTCATAGGCATTCTAATAGGGGGGTACTAGAATCCCTATGAAGGACTGTTAGAAAAAGGGGGAACATCCCAAACCGATTCCTTAATTAAGGGATCATGTTAGGGCTCTTTGGGTCATCTACAATAAGTTTGCGGGTGTTTTGGGAGCTAGGTGGTGCTAAGAAATCCTTCGCAAACCATTCGGGACTCTCACTCTATTAGACCTAGAACCTAATCCCAGAAACCCTAAACCCCCAACCCGCAAGCCCCGAACCAAAGCTTCTCCAAGGCATGGAGCATGGGTTGGGGCTTAGTCCATGGGACGTCAACGCAGCAGGAAATACCCCTACAAGACTTCAAACTTTTAACGGACATAACCCTGCACATGCTCCAGGTAAGGCAGAAACCTTCAATTTCTGCCTAAAACCCAGTTTCATAACCTGGGGGAATCTGAGGTGCGGGCTTGGGCCTAAACCTGATACACCCTCAACCCTATTGCATATTGAGAGAGCCCTTAACACTCCTTAACTAAGGAATCGACCTCATGCAATACAGGGACCCTCAGCATGATTTTTTTTTAAGTACAGTCCTTAATTAAAAAGGCTTTGAAGGGCTCTTGTGGTAATGAAAGGGGGACTGGCCCTGGCGTCACAGGTGCTCCTGCAATTTGGAGGCGCTGACCCTGCCACGATGGATGGAGCACGTGATGCCGACGGTTTCACTGCGCTCATGCAGGTAGCGGCCCCGGACCGATGTCCAAGCACTTTGGGCCTTTTTTGTTTTGGGGGGGGGGGGGGGGTTAGGGATTAGGGTTTAGGGTTTAGGGTTTAGGGGGGTGGGTTTAGGGTATACAGGGGTTGCGGACTTGCGACATTAGCAAGGTATATGAGGCTTTGCAGCACTTATTAGGATTTTTGGGGCTTGTCGGGTTTATCGTTGGGCTTAAGGCTTATGGCTTACGGGTTAAAGGTTTCAGCTTGAAGTCCAGCATTTTAGGGTTTGTGGGGATTCCGTGGTGTTGTTGAGAAGGCGTTTTAAACCCCTGCGCGCCGCCTGAATGCCGATCTGGGCGGGGCTTAGGGTTTCGGGTTTAGGGCTTAGGGGTTGGGATGTTCCCCCTCATACTAACAGTCCTTATAGGGATTATATAGAGGGTACTATAATCCCTACTAAGGACTGTTAGTATAAGGCGGACATCCCAATTTAGGGGCTCATTTTGTCTGCGTGCCGCCCTTCTGTCGATGTGTTCGGCAGTGTGGTCCTGGAGGCCTCAGCCGGCTTATTGCGAGTGCGAGAGGCGAAGGCCCCACGCATTTCCTAAACCCTATGTTATGATCAAGGGATGAAGACTCGTACCCCTAAGGTTGTACCCCTATGTAAAGGTTCCCTTTAATACCCTAAACCCTAACCCCTAAACCCTAAACCCTATACTCCTAACATGGCCCTAACCCTTTTCCTAGGGATCCTGGAAAAAAGGGACCCCTGTAGATGAGGCTGTGGAGCGTCAAGCTTATAAGCTCCCGGGGATGCTAGAGCAAACAAAAAAAACGCCCGACCTCAATGTGGTTACTTCTCTACAGTATTTAGGGTTTAGGGTTTAGGGTTTAGGGTTTAGGTTTAGGGTCCCTTCTGAAGTTGCAATTATGACGGCCCCGAATACTTTTGGGGTACCCCAAAAAGGGACCAGAATTTTGAGAACTCGCCATGTGCTCTTTTCTTCTCTTTCTTAAGGCCCTGCTCCTGAACAACACCGATGCCTCCGACTGGTGCCTAGAACTCCAAGGTCGTTTTCTGGGTCTTATAGGCCTATAGGGGATTTTGAAGGCGCTTTAGGGGTACTAGGGCTTAGGGTTTAGGGTTTAGGGTCGTGCCTTGGAAAGTTGAAGTTGGCTTCGCAGACGAGTTTTAGGGGTTTGGGGCTTGCATAGGGGTCTGGGTCTTATAGGCCTATAGGGGGTTTTAAAGGCGCTTTAAGGGTAATTACTAGGGTTTAGGGCTCGAGGGGTGTCAGTTATTAGAGCGTGAAGGACAGAGGGCTTTTCCACTTGCAAATGTTTCCAGAACCGTGGATGCGCGTGTTGGCACACTGCCCTCAAACCCTGCTAGGAGGGTTTAGGGTTTTTGGTTTAGAGGCCTCCTAGTTCAATGTAGGCTTATAGAAGGCCTAGAGTGGGTACAAAAGTCTTATTGTGTAGGCTCTAGCTCACCAAGCTAAAGAAGTGGCGTAGCCCTGGAATCTCAAAGAATTCCCAGACTGCCCGAAACCCTAAACGCTAAACCCTGAACCCCCAACCCTAAACCCTACTAAACCCTACTAAACCCTACTAAACCCTACTAAACCCTACTAAACCCTACTAAACCCTAATAAACCCTAATAAACCCTAATAAACCCTAATAAACCCTAATAAACCCTAATAAACCCTAATAAACCCTAATAAACCCTAATAAACCCTAAACCCTAAACCCTAAACCCTCAACCCTAAACCCTGAACCCTAACCCTAAACCCTAAACCCTAAACCCTAATCCCTAAACCCTAAACCCTAAACCCTAACCCAGCTATGCGGGAGCGAAAAAGACAACCCTAAACCCCGTGCACTTCTCGAGATCTCAGGCTGGTTGCCAATGGCGCCACCGTGACCCAAGCGGACTTGGACCTCTTGGCCATGCGGGGCGTGGCTGCCGGCCCTCAACAGCTTTCTTCCTACTGGTTCTTACTTGGGAATGAGGGAATGGGGACCTTATATCCGCATATATATATATATATATATATATACATATATGGTATGCATAGTCCGCTTTACAGGCTTCAAAAAGGTAACAGCTTTCTTCCTACTGTTCTTACTTGGGGTCGAGCGAGTGAGGCACCTTATATCCCTATACTCTGTGTATATATATATGGAGTAGAATATACATACTCCGCTTTAAGCGTTTCTATACGGCACCTCATTCCCTCATTTGTTTCTCAGAAACCAGTAGGTCTGTTATGGATGAAGTAGAGGGCGAGGGTGTGGGTTTCCCACCACCTCCCTTCTAGACTAACTACCCCACCCCCCTCCCCCTAGGTTCCCCCCGCCCCCCCCCCCTAGATGACCGTAAATCAGGCTTAATTATCCCTAGATATACAGGGGGGGTAGTAGAGGAGCTCCTCTTGTCTTTCCGGGGCATGACCCGAAATCCTGCAAGTTGCCTTGTGGCCCACATACGTCCATGAAATCAACCAGCTATCAAAGTTTTGAAGTCTCTCAGAGTTTTTGTAAACCCGAAACCCGCCCTCAACCCTAAACCCTACACCCCAGCCCCCTTACAATGGCAGCTGAGGAGTCTTCCTTGCCCGCAGCAGCTGCCTCTGCAGCACCTGCCTATTTGGGCCGAAGTTCTTTTCCATGGACCGGTTTAGGGTGCAGGGTTTCGTTTATTCAAAAGGGTTTTGGGTTTAGGGTTTAGGGTTTATGCTCAAACATCTGAACCAGCAAGGTTTGTGCGAGTTAATCATGTGAGGCCTTGTTGGGTCGATTTTTTACATTCCGCTGAGTTCGGCCCTTTGGCACCAAAAGGCCACAGCCCCATAACTTTGTCACCCCGCCCCCTTCCCGAACGCAAACCTTCCAGCCCCCCATTGCCTCCCAACCACCTTACACGCGCCAGAAGCCTCATGCACCAAACCCTGAAGCCTGGAAAGCCTAACCCCATACCCTACACCCAGAGTGGCCCTACACCCTCCGCCCTACGTGCTGCGTGCTACGTGCTGCGTGTATACGCCCTACCCTACGCCCTACGCCCTACACCCTACACCCTACACCCTACCCTTAATCTGGGGGGGTGGGGTAGCTGTCGACCTGCTCGCGGAGGACGGGCCCTAGCGCGGCGGATTTTGGGGGCCTGCCGGCGTCTAGGCGGTTTTTCATTTTTTGGGGTTTTCAAACAAAGAGAAGTTTCCCAGCTCAGGGTTTAGAACAGTCTACTGATCGGGTGGGCCCTTCTTATAGCGGCTGAAGGGTTTGAGGTTTTAAGGCTTTAAGGTTTTGCGGCGAATCAGACATCCGCCAGGGGCGACGAGCTAAAGTCCACAGAGCCAAAAACTCCTAGACTATATAACAAGATGTCACAAGGGGCTCCTTGTTTATGAGCTGAGGCAAGGGAGGTGCATTCCATATTTTCGAGAGCTGTTGGTCTCCCCGGGCCCCCACTTTCAGAGCAGTTTAAGTACATCGGGACAGAGCCTGGGCTGTACTCAAAAGAATATTCCTTTAAACCATACAGGAGGCCCTTCTGATGATCTAAGGTCCATTCTTAAGTAAGGGGCATGGGGCTCTTTAGGAACTGAGTTAGCTAAGCAGCTGATCTTTTCCCCCGTCTAGCGTCTTCGAGTTTAGGGAGTTTACTTGAGGAAGTGCCTTGCTTTCTGCCTGCCATACTAGGCACCCAAGAGCCCCAGTGTCCCTTAATTGAGGAACAGGCCTGAAAGTCAAGAAAAGAAGCATCCCTCGATAAATTAAGCAAGGTATTCTTCCTTTATGAAGGGATGTTTTGGGCTCACTGATACTAGCTATAGTTATTGGACTTATGACCTGAATGGGAGTCATACCTCCATGCAGAACTACGGGTCCAGTCTTCGTTTGGGGGAACCAAGATGGCCCCCCAAAATCCTCATAGGTTTCTTAAGGGATAATACTCCCAACTACTCCCTAAGGCTCCCGAAGCTCCCCTAAGGCTCCCTAGGTACCTACCCACCCTAAACCGTAAACCCTAAACCCTAAACCCTCCCCTTAAGAACCCTATACAAAAGCCTCATTGCGCCGCAGCCCAGGTCTCGAGCCCCATGCCGACGACCACGCTGTATGTGTGGCTTCGCTGAGCCCAGATACTCTAGTACCCCTTAAAATAGAAGACGGTTCCTTATATGGTTTAAGGAATACTCCCTTAGTACTCCTTAGTTAAGGAATGTTTCCTTAAATTTATCAGGAACTTTCTTGTGTTTTCTTAATGAAGCAGTTTGGAGTCCCTGGGAGTGTGTGATGTTCCCGAAGAGCCCTTCAAAGCCCATGCAGTAAGGACATATTCCTTAGAATCATACTAAGAATCCCCATACATTTTAAGGTTCTATTCTATTCCTAAATGAAACTCTGGGTTCTTGGCTCCGGAACCCATGTGCGAGGCTTCCCCCACCGACTCCAGACAGGGACTCTGAGATTTTAGGTCCTTTTTTCCTCTCACTCTCTCTCTCTTTTCTCTATGTTGTTTTTTTTTTTTTTCTCTCTCTCTCTCTCTCCTCTCATTCTGTCTCTCTTGGACGGTATCGCACTGTGATCTGGGTTAGGGGATCTGGGTTCCGGGCTTACACTGGTTTGGGGTTTGGGCTTTCTAGGTTTTAGGTCCCCCCCTGAGCCCAAGTGAGGCAGGTCCAGAGTTTTGCGGCACCTCTCGGGATGTTCCCTTATACTAGCAGTCCTTAATAGGGATTATAGTCGCCCCCCGATGAGAACCCCATTAAAGACTGTAAGTATAAGGGGGGACATCCCAAGACACCTCTATTGTAGCCCAGCCAGCGAAGTGTGCAAGAAAGCCCAAGATACGCCCCCACCCATCTGAGGTTCTCCACGACGACGACAATGACCCATTCCAGCACCACGACGCAGACGGTAACGGTTACCAGCACCTTCACGACGACTTAGCTGCACCGAACCTTCTACATCCCAGGGCGAGCACATGAAGCACTGAAGTGGAAACTGCACCCGGCGGGTTGGCCTTCGGAACTGGTGACCGAACTGCCTTCCGTGGGGTGATCTACGCAGTGGGTTTCTATGCCAGGAAACCTCCCATCAGACCTTGGCCTTGGACCCCTGGTGGGGGCCTACACCTCCTATGGAGCCGCCGGAGATTCACAGCCCCTTCCCAGACGGCCGCAAGAAGCAGCGAGGGACTCGACGTACTTCCCCCATGCGCCCGGAGCAGAAAAAGAGGAGATCGTGTCTGTTGCAGCCACCGGAAGCTGAACAAAGCCCTGTGGGGTATAGGGGCGTGTGCTGCCAAGGACAAGGAGGAGAACGAGGCAGACTGCCGCACCCGTGTGCTCCGGGCGGGAAGGCCGGTCTGAGGATGTTTATGGCCAGCATTTTCTACTACTTGCTTAAGAAACCCGGAAAATTGAAAAACATTCTTCCTTACAAAGGGTATAGGGAATATGATTTCTATTCTTTTGGGGTTCTTAAGCAAATAGCAGTCTATGAGCTCGGTTTCTGGATGTCCGTTTTGACCTCGGTAGTTGTTTTGTTTCTTCTTCCTTATCCAAACTTTGCACCTCAATGAGAGAACTGACCGTGTGGGCTTCGAGGTGATTTGCCCTGCAGGGCCCCACATGCTCCCCACCCTCTATCCTGAAGAGTCGTTTCTGCGCCTGTGTCCTAAACCCTAAACCCTAAACCCTAAACCCTAAACAACTTAAATCGGGATGGGGATTGTTAGCCCCGGGGCTGATGGATATGCAGAGCCGAGCTGAACGGCCGAACCCGAACAGAACCCTTGCCTGCTTGCTGAGTGCTACAGCCACGCCCACAGGGTTTAGGGTTTCGGGCTTAGGGTTTAGGATGGTTTCGGGTCCTACAAATTTTGACATATGTCCCGATTGCATGTACACTTGTGAGCTTTGGGCGAGCTATTGCATTCTTTCACAGTGATGCATCTGCGCCTTGGCATATTGCCTACGAACTCGTTGCAAGCGGCCTCAGTCCATCACTCAAAACGGTGGTTTAACCCTGGACCCCTCCAAAAAAACCAGCCCCAAACCCATAAACTATTTCACACACCTAAGGGGGTTTCGGCCAGGGCGAAACAAGCAAACGTCGGGGATGCCTGGAGCCCATGAATGCCCGAGCACGTCCCAGGCGGCAGGTCTGGCGCGAGCGCATCCGGCAGCGACGCCGTGAGCGCGGGCTCTCAGAGACCTCGCACGCCTTGAAAGGATGACGTCCGAGGTCTTAAGCTTGGTGGCCCAGTGGTACCCTTTACCCTTTTTTTGGCTATGGGTTCCCTTGTAAAGTAACCAACCCCAAAAAGGGTGCCCTCATTATGAGGTGGTTACTGGGCTACTAAGTAAATGTGGCATGTGTAGGAGCACCCTCAAGATCTAGAGACGCCAATGCCCCTTAAGTAAGAAAGACCCCTGAAACCATATGGGAAACCCTCCACAACCCTCCTATACTTTCAGGAACACGCCTTAAATCAACACAGGGGTCGGAATAATTACGAACATTCCCTTATGGTCCCTTATACCACAATAGCCCGCAAAACCCCATGACAATTATTCAGGCCCCCTATATTAACTGATGCCCCTAAACCCTAAACCCTAAACAGGCGGCCGGCGTCTTCACCCAAAGAGGAGGAGCCGCAGTCGCAGGCGGCTCTGAAGGCGAAGATGTGCCTTGGCTTGAGGAAAAAAAGGTAGGGTTTAGGGTTTAGGGTTAGGGTTTAGGGTTTAGGGTTTAGGGCCTTATAATCCCCCGAACCAACCCCATAAAGGGCCTTTTCAAGTGGAAAGACCCCTAATCTTATTCTCCTATAGAACCCCTATATCTACCTATGTACTTTATATCGTCCTTATATACCTAAGGAGCCCCTAGTTTAGTTACTTGGCTGCACGGCCGAGACGAGCGAAGAGAGCGCCGCTTTCAGCATTCTAAGGTTTTGCGACCCAGAGAGAGCCCTCAAAACCCCCTTAGTTAAGGTATATATACTTGGATCCTTAAAAGGAAAATATGCTTCTCTATGCCTAAAGTCATACTAAAGGATCCCTATATAGTTCAAAAACCCATTCCCTAGTTTTGCAAATGGTCTGTAGGGCTCTTTGGGGATGTTTGGGGGGCTGGTGGCCGCTTACTTGGAGCCTTTGCTTAATTCCAACCAATGCTCCCGGGATGTTGCTCCTTATACTAACAGTCCCTAATCGGCATTCTAGTACCCCCTATTGTAATCCCTATTAAGGACTGTTAGTATAAGGGGCAGCATCCCAACTTTACTCCCTACTCCCAGAATCGGTCCAAAATCATGAAGACTCAAAGGTGCACACCCCCCAACTTAAACCAGAAGGATGCTCATTCTGGTTGTAATCTAGGGTCCTCAGCGTGCTGAATATGGCTTCAGGGTACATCACTACATAACAATTACCGCAGCTGTAGGGAAGATGCGGGCTCCATCCATAGAAAGGCACCTTAGCCCTGAACCCGCCCTCTTAGCCTGGTTGCCTGCCCAGAAAAGTCCAAAGCCCCCCCTGTATTTAGGGCTTAGGGTTTGGGGTTGAGGGATGCAGTGAATCATTGAAAAAAACGAGCCCCTTTATGTGGTTAATGCGGGTTCCTTAATGAAGGGCTGCTGGGCTCTCCGCGTTAGTAGTTGGGGGTCAAAATCCATGAATGAAAGCTGCATTGGTCAGGGCCGCTGTGAGATTTCAGGTTTTCCTTTATTGGCCTTATAAGCAGATGTTTCAAAGAGCCCAATACCCCTTCATTAAGGAATGCACCTTAAATCATACCAAGGAACCCTGTAAACTTCATAAGGAATGTGCCCCAATTAAGGGTTATAAGGCTCTTTGGGACTAGCTTCAGTTTTCTAGGTCCTAAGACGCTGGCTATCGCTGGCTCCCTAAGGCCCTGCCCGGTCAACACATCTGCATGCACCATTATGAATAAACCCTCGACCCTTACCCTGAACCCTAGACCCTGGACCCTTATCCCTAAAACGTAAACCCTAAACCCTTACAAGGAGGTCTCAGCTCGCGGACATGGATGAAGAAGCTCGCCCCTGTCTCAGAGGTTCAAGGCACGGGTGCAGAGCATTTAGTGTTTAATTAGGGTTTAGGGTTACAGGGTTTAGGGTTTAGGGTTTAGGGTTTAGGGTTTAGGGTGCGGAGCATGGGGTTTCGGCTCAGGTATGCGTAAGGCTGAGTGGTGGAGTAGGTCAATGCCAGGTCAGGTTCTATCCTGCACAAGACACGTTTTGAGGGGTTTCCGAAAACAGGCCTCCACCTTGCAAACCCCAAATTTATAGGAACTCCCCGAAAATAGGGGTACCCTAATATAGGAACTCTCCAAATATAGTAACTCCAAAAAAAAAAAGGGGTACCCTAATTTGGGTGAAATACCTGTCCAGGAGGCCTCAGACTCATTCCCCCCTAAGCGCTAAACCTGAAACTCCAGCTTAGTGAGCTTGGTTTAGGGTTTTAGGGCTCAGGGTTTAGGGTTTAGGGACTTGTCCGTCGTGTCCGAGTGGCGCAAGTCCTGCGTGACCTTAAGTTTTGTCCTAAAAGTGCACAACCCGAAAGACCTTGCAATCTGACATTAGGGTTTAGGGTTTAGGGCGTGGCAGTCGTTCACAGTCCACTTGGAAGCCCTTTTGTCTCAGACAGTCCACTTGGCATTGTTTAGAAACCCTGCAATCACCCCCATAACCCAACTTTACTAAGCCTACTTACTAGTCAAAGGGCTTCTAAGCACTTGCCCAACACCCTCAACCCAAAACCCAAAACCCAAAACCCTAAACCCCAAACCCTAAACCCTAAACCCTAAACCCTAAACCCTAAACCCTAAACCCTAAACCCTAAACCCTAAACCTACAGCATTCTCAAGGTGCCCTGCTTGAAAGCATCGAGGAGCCTGGGCCCCAGGAGGGCGCCAGAAAATCCGTGCACCTCATCTTAGGGATGCGCGGGAAATATGTTGAAACTTTTTGGGTACTCTAATGTTTAGGGTTTAGGGCTTTGGGTTTAGGGTTTATTCCTTAGGGATACGTTGGGGGATATTTTTACATTTTTTGGCCTACGAAAGATTCCGAAGAAGCAGCTCCAATTATTTTTTGGGTACTAAATAATCCTAAGAAACAGCTGGACTAGTATTTTTTGGCGAGGGTCCACAGTTCAGTATAGGAGCCCTCATCCTCGACCACGACCATAGGTCATCGTTACCCCGAGGCCCAGTACCCTTTCAACCAGGAACCCTCCTAAGACTACAAATAGGTGCCAAAGCGTGAAACAGGGACTGAATTCCCCATCTAGGAATACACCTTAATGATACAATATAGGAATTCTTATTGTGATTTACACTACATTCCTTAATTAAGGACTACATTCCTTTTTTGAAGGGGTATTGGGCTCTCTGGTTGCCTCGCCGAGGCGGAACGCTGAGCTGGCGGGCCTCCGCACGCAGCAGCAGGTGCGTGATGTCACAAGGGCAAGGTTCAGGGCGATTAGGGTGTGGGGAAAGTTTAGGGTTCAGGGTTTAGGGAAAGTTTAGGGTTTAGGGCGAGTATGGTCGAGGGAAAGTTTAGGGTTTAGGGAGTTCTCCAGATTCATTGCCTCTCCTTTGATCTTCCTGAGTTTGAGGTCTTGGGCTTAGGGTTTTGTAAGGGCCCGTACTGATTCAACCAGGTATTTCAAGAAAGTGAACTTAGTATAGAGAACCTACCACAAAGCTCCTTGAGCTTGTTCTGTCATCGATTGGGCTTTAGAGCCCCATGGACTACCTAAGGATACCTTAAACTATATTGCGACTTAGGCTATATTCATTACTGAAGTAGCATGGGGCTCTTTGGGTATTGTCAGGGCTACGGATGCCGGATAAGATAGGGTTGAGGGGTTTAGGGGCTTAGGGTGCATGATTTTTCTCAACAGAATGCCTTGCCGTCC